TCCCATCTTTCTCTTCCTGCACAAATACAAATTTCTTTTGAAATCCAGTAAGTGTTTTATGAAGGCATCTAGCCAGTGTAATTTCCTGGACTAGATGAATGTTTGTATGGTCAAGAAATCTTAGGAAACTAAACAGAATCTGAAAGCAATTATATTTTGGGTGGCGATTACCTTAGAATTCAGTGTGGAAAAACTACCCACGTGTGTAATAGGAATGCAGAGATATGTGTGTGTATATGAGTGTATGTGTGCATACATAGACACACATAGAGAGATATAGAAAAGCAAAATGATGAATGTCTCCTAAAAGACAAAGAATTTTCTTTCTGGGTACTCCATGCCATGTGGGGAATACCACATATCCCCTAAGACATGAGGCTTATAGTTTGATGGTCAACGTGAACAGATATATGTCAAGAAAATTTATGCAAACTTTACAATTTTATAAATGTTATAAATTATTAGTGGGAAGATTTGTCCTTAAATTACTCAGCTCATCTTCCCCCAACCCAGTTCTTTATTTTGTAGGTGCTGCTGCGCTCAGCATCTCTAAATTGGAGTCAATTCCAACCATCTATAATGAAAGGATAACCTGTACTGAAGGTTTCGCACTTCCTGACAAATCCCTGTGTATATCTATCATTGTGGTATCCAAAAAGGGGACAGAGAAAATTTTCAAAGAGCACTTGGATGAGATGGGAGTCGGGTTCAGGGGCTGACATCCTGGGTGGACTGCCACGGGCCAGTGTCCTGTCTTTTTCCCAGTGGGCAGTAGAATGCATGTTTTGGCTTTTCAATGATACAAAAACATTCCACTCATGAAACTAACTTAGCTTTCATGCTTCAAATAAAAGAGTCCCCTGATTTCTAAGATAAGATATAGTGAGATAGCAATGTGCACTGGCAGACTCTGGTGCACGTGGTCATCCCTCATTCAGTCCTGTTTTCATGCTGTAGACTGTGCATTTCAGGTCTAAGTCTCTTGGCTTCTTTTTCTTAAATCATAGCTGTGTATACTAATGCAATCATGGCGTACAAGGTGCTGGCCTTATATACAATCTGAAATATTTACATCAAACTGGTTAGCATAGCCTTCACTGCACCTTCTTAGAGTCTCGTGGCTTTTGGCAAAGTTGTTGAGGCGTGAGGCTGAGTGAGGACACACCAGCTTTACCTGCCTTGGGGCACTACTGGGACTAGTTGGCTTCTCTGGAGCTGTAAAATTTTTTATTATTATTCTGTATATATCATGCCATGGAACTGTGTGGCCTTTTGGGACTTCTGCTGCTTGTAAAATGGCACAACATTTTTGTTGGCTGCAGTGCAGGGTGAGAATTGCTCATCACCCTCCCAGAGCAACTGGAGATCTCTTTTGGGGTCATTGGTTAACCTGCACTAGAGGGCAATTAATGAGCCAACGAAGGAAATTCTAACATTAAACGTAATTATGTGAAGGGTTCCTCCAACCATCAGATGAGCTGGATGGGTTAGGGACATTAAGAGTCAGAATCAGGGAAAGAACCAAATGCTTTGTTCTTTTCTAAGGCATGCAGAACTCATTACTGCTGATGGAAGCAAAATCAATAAGGCTGAGTGCCTTGAATAAGTCAGAGGTTAGAAACCCTCTGGCTCAACTTTATTGACCAGTTTTTATTAGGTGAACAGAGGAGTTTGTCTAAAGAGAAACTCGCCTATTGTGAGAACATTTGTTGCTTCCACAAATAATCAATACCATGTATTTTTACATATAGTTTCATCACATTTTTAAACATTTACCTTCTTAGTGGTATAGAAGTTTTGAATGGATTAAAACTAAATGCTTAACATTCATCCTCAGAAAATATAGAATTAGTCTTAGAATTGATCATGATAGGAGATGTCTCTTGGTAGGTCCTACTGAATTCTTTTGCTTCTCAATGAACTTTAGAAGCCAAAAGAATGACAGGCAGTGTAATTCAGCAATTATAAATTGGGACTTAAAATAGGCAGACCAGGTACCAAATCCCCATTAACTCCATCATTATTTGACAGAGTAGAATTACAGTAGAAAGTGTAACTAATAGTTGTACAGAGTTTTATTCAGTTCTTTTGGTTGTAAAAAACAAAAAGTCACCTATTCCAATAATTTAAACATTTAATATATCAGTATGCATGAAATACATTAGTATTTACAACTATTTTAAATTGTACACAAACTTTTCAGACACCCTGTATATATAGGTTTTTTTTAATAATTTATTTATTTTCATTTCTAATAGGAGGATACAAATGCTTAGGTTACATTGTTTTCAATTCTAAGGTAAAATTCAAGTTGTAGTTGAGCCCTTCACCCAGGGGGTGCGCTAAACACCCTCACATTGTGCATATTAGGTGAGATCCTGCCAATCACCCTCCCTCCTCCCCCGCCCCCTCCCTCCTTTCCCCTCACTCTCGCTAGACTAGACTAAATTAGTGTTTTATCATTCGTGTAGAGATTATATATATATAGTCTTTTGAAAGATCATCTTTCAGAAACCCAAGAGCAAGAATCATGATAGAACAATCCCTATGGAAAATGGAACAGAAAGTAGAAAATGATTTAGAACCCAAGACACGTCTGGGGTCCTCGGAGTAGGAGTCCCTGAATTTCACTCTGAGTACCCAACTCACAGCCAGTGTCTCCCCTGTCTTCTTCACACTCCCCTGGCTACCACATGGCCTGCTTTTTCTGTATTTCTCAATTCTTATTCCCCAAACAGACATTCTGGCCTAGTTGGGCTCAGCTTTATTGGCCAGGCTCCATTTTAGTTCAGTGGCCAGTCTACGGATTGGTTGGCCAGGGGACAGTTCTTTACCCCTAACCTAATGATGAGTGGTCGTTAAGGTGGCTCCTCTGCAGCAGCGGAATGGGTGGATCATTTCCTTTGTGCAGGGTTACAAGTGTGACTTGGGAGTTTGTCACGGTTGGGTGAGATCTGCAGGCACTCTTACTTTCTGATCACATTTCTCCACAGTCGAGCACTGAGGCTCAGGTGGAAAGAAGACAAAGGCCCTCTTTGTTTGAAAGCAATCTTTTGAATGTCCATTTAATGAAACTCAGGTATCTTCCCTAGGTCAGACTTAAGTTTTTAACTTGTTCACCTCAGAAATGCAAAACATAAAGAGATTACCCTATTGGTAAGTCACACAGCAATCTTAGGCAAAAGGTCAAGTAGGCAGTGAGGTTCTGTTATGTTTTCAAATCTGCTATTGTCTGAATGTATCCTCCCTCTGCCCCAATTCATGTATTGGAAACTTAATCCTCACTGCTACAGTTTTGAAAAGTGAGGCTTTGGGGGAGACGTTTTGCATCCTCACAGCTGGGTTAAGGCCATTATGAAGGGCTATCACAGGGCCTCTCGCCCCTCTGACTTCTTGCAGGTGAGGACAAGCGGTCCTCCCCTCTAGAGGTCACAGTCAGAAGGCACCACCTTGAACTTAGACTCCTCTGCCTCCAAAACTGTGAGAAAATACGTTTCTGTTCTTTGTAAATTACCCAGTTTCAGGCATTCTGTTGTGGTAGTACAAAACAGACTAAAACCTCATCATGCAAGGTTCATACAGATTCGAAATACTGTATGAAAGAGGTAGGCATGTGGTACATGATTATTTAATAAACACTTTTACACAGCAGGTGGAATGGGTACCTATGCCTTCTTATTTTACAGATGTGAAAACTGGGGCCTGAGAAATTATATCCCTTGTTTAAGTGCAGCCAGTTACCTTATTGCACTCACAGCTAGAACCCAGGTCTCCTGAATTTCCAGGCCAGTGCATTTGCCAGCTCCTTTTAAGTTTCTCCACAGTTCTCAAAAATTGCTTTTGAGAAAGACTGTGTGTGGCCAGGGTGCGGTGGCTCATGCCTGTAATCCCAGCACTCTGGGAGGCCAAGGCGGGTGGTTTGCTTGAGTTCAGGAGTTGGAGACCAGCCTGAGCAAGAGCGAGATCCCCGTCTCTAAAAATAGCCAGCATTGTGGTGGGCACCCATCATCCCAGGTACTCAGGAGGCTGAGGCAAAAGGATTGCTCAAACCCAAGTGTTGGAGGTGGCTGTGAGATACGATGACACCATGGCACTCTACCCAGGGTAGCAGAGTGATCAGAAAGAAAGACTGTGTGTGTGTATAAATTTATAGCTTCCAGTTGCTAACAACACAACATACTTTTGTAGTTAGACTGAAAACTCCTGAAATTTCTTTTTTAATAAAGCAAATATCTGGTCCTTATTCACTGTAAGGATTGAATAAATGTTAATAGCCTAAATTACTAACTGTCCTACAGGGACATGTCATTTTAATAGTACGTCAAGTCTTAAAGAAGTAACACTCCTTAGCTAGGCATCTCTGAGCCTCCCAGGGGCCTCCTGCAGTAACTCTGACCACATACTTACCTCCTGCTGTTCTAAGACCAGAGAGCAAAGCCAAGCCTTCGAACCACCAGTCAAGCTCCAGACTGAATGTCCGTGAACCACAACGTGATCTGGGTTCACCTGGCTGAATGTCACAATCCAAAGTGTGCTCCACGCATTCCTCTGCACTGTGAGGAAAATGTGGCATGGCACAGTGGAAACTTTGTGTAATCCGTTCCATTTCAAATAATCAAGGAGTTGAATTTTATGAAATGCTAAAGGCCTAGATTCTGAAAGTCCCTCTTAGCGGGATACTATTGGTTTGCTCACATGATTGTTCTTTTCTTCGCCCAAGAGTACAAGGTTTTCCAAGCCTGTCTTCCTTCTTCCACTTACTACAGATCCCTCACAAACACCTGTTTTCTATTTTCTGTAAAGCACCATGGGAGCCCCCAAATGGCATTTCATGCTGTCTTTTCTAATGGTGTTATTCTCTGGTTAAGATGAGAATGGAGGCTCATTGAGGTCTGGAGCTTTGTTTTGTCTATCCTTGAGATCAGTGTCTAGAAAAGTATCTGCCACAGAAAAGGCACCCAGAAACAGGAACTGGTATCCAGGACACAGCTCCTTGCTCCTCCCTCAGGATGAATAGAGACCAGAAATCAGATGTTTATGCCTGAGAAAAGCAGGATTTCATCCAGCACTTCTCTGAGATTGTCAGGATGCTGACTGAGGATGAGATGGGGCACCCAGAGACAGGAGATGCTATTGCCCGGCTTAAGGAGGTCAGTACCACCGGGGTGTGATGGTGCTGGTAGCATTTCGGGAGCTGATGGAACCAAGGAAACAGGATGCTGATAGTCTCCAACGCGCCCTGACTGTGGGCTGGTGTGTGGAACGGCTGCAAGCTTTCTTCTTGGTAGCAGATGACATCATGGATTCATGTCTCACCCAGCGAGGGAAGATCTGCTGGTATCAGAAGCCAGGCATAGGTCTGGATGCCGTCAATGATGCTGTGCTTCTGGAAGCATGTATCTACCACCTGTTGAAGCTCTACTGCCAGGAACAGCCCTATTACCTGAACCTGATTGAGCTCTTCCTGCAGAGTTCATATCAGACTGAGATCGGGCAGACTCTGGACCTTATCAGATTTACTGAAAAGAGGTACAAATCTATTGTCCAGTACAAAACAGCTTTCTACTCCTTCTACCTGCCATAGCTGCTGCCATGTGCATGGCAGGCGTTGATGGGCAGAAGGAGCACAGTCATGCGAAGAAGATCCTGCTGGAGATGGGCGAGTTCTTTCAGATCCAGGATGATTACCTTGATCTCTTTGGGGACCCAAGTGTGATGGGCAAGGTTGGCACTGACATCTAGGACAGCAAATGCAGCTGGCTGGTGGTTCAGTGTCTGCAATGGGCCACTCCAGAGCAGCACCAGATATTGTAGAATTACAGGCAGAAGGAGGCAGAGAAGGTGGCCCGGGTGAAGGCCCTGTACGAGGAGCTGGATCTCCCTGCTCTGTTCTTGCAGCACGAGGAGGACAGCTATAGCTGCCTTATGAGTCTCACCGAGCAGTTTGTGGCACCCCTGCCCCGGGCCATCTTCCTGGAGCTAGCACACAAAATCTATAAGCGGCAAAAGTGACCTAGACACTGCAAGAATGGGGAGAGGAAGCTCAATAAAATTATTGTATAACCTTGAAAAAAAAGAAAAGGCACCCAGGAAATGTTTGCATAATGCATGAATAAATGTTAGTCATTTATTTAGCTAGTTTATGCCTCCTTTCCTCTACCCACATTTTTTTTTTCTTTAAAGATGAGGTTTTGCTATGTTGCCCAGGCTGAACTCAAACTCCTGGGTTCAAGGGATAACCCCAAGTACCTGAGTCTACAGCCTGGTGTCACGTGCCTGGTGTGCCCCCTACTGTTCTAAGTACAGTTGCTACCTCATTTAAACTCTATGAGGTAGGAACTATTAATATTCCTATTTTGCAAATGGGGAAACTGAGGCTTAGAGCGATTAAGTAACTTTGTTAGAGTTGCCCAGTGGTGATCCAGGGATTTGTAGCAAAGTTATCTGGGCTTGAAACCTTTTCTCTGCCTCTGTATGTTATGCTGTCTTCTTGTTCAGCACAAAAGAAACTCTTTAGCTGTAATCAAGAGGTGTTTGTTTGTTTGTTTGTTGAGACAAGAGTCTCACTCTCTTGCCCAGGGCAGAGTGTCATGGCACCAGCCTAGCTCACAGCAGCCTCAAACTACTGGGATCAAGCCATTCTCCTACCTCAGCTTCCTGAGTAGCTGGGAAAACAGGTGCTTGCTTCAATGCCCAGCCAATTTTTCTGGATTTTTTTTGGTAGAGACAGGGTTTCACTTTGCTCAGGCTATTCTCAAACCCCTGACCCCAAGTGATACTCCACTTCATCTCCCAGAGTGCTAGGATTAGAGTTGTGAGCTGCTGAGCCCGGGGCTGAGAGGTGGCTTGCAAAAGGTGCATCATATTTATGCTATGAATAACAGGCTAGAAAGTTTTGAAGAGTTTGAACCAGACGTGGGAGTAAATCTGACCTTGAATGATGGGTAGGATTTGAACAGGTCAAAAGTGGAGTTCATCTCCCATTGACTTCTGGCAGAAATTAACTTGAAATTCGCTCTAAAATATTATCATCTTATAAAATACTACAGTATTATTTTTCATCTTTAACCCAGTTTCTTCATTATCATCACCACCACCACCATTTTAAATAGCTTGCATGGGTTGAAACCATTTTTTAAACATTATTTATTTTTTTAATTTATTTTTGAGACAGTCTCACTATGTCACCCTTGGTAGAGTGCTGTGGCATCACAGCTCACAGCAACCTCCATCCAACTCCTGGGCTTAGGCAATTCTCCTCCCTCAGCCTCCTGAGTAGCTGGGACTACAGGTGCCCACCACAATGCCTGGCTATTTTTCTGTTGTTGTTGTTGTAGTTGCAGCTGGCCTAGGCTGGGTTTGAACCTGCCACTCTTGGCGTATGTGGCTGCCACTGTAACCACTGTGCTATCGGCACTGAGCCTTTTTTTTTTTTTTTTGAGACAGACTATTGCTCTGCTGCCCAGGCTGGACTGCAGTGGCACTAATGTAGCTCAGTGCAGCCTCAACTTCCTGAGTCCAAGTGATCCTCCCACTTTAGCTTCCTGAATAGCTGGAATCACAGACTCATGCTTCCATGCCAAGCCTGGCTAGTTTTTAAATTATTTTTTATAGAAATAAATTTTTGTAGAAATGGGGGTCTCACTATATTGCCCAGGTTGGTTGAAGCTCCTAGCCTCAAGAAATCCTCCTACCTCACCCTTCCTAAGTGCTGGGATTACCAGCATGACCACAACACTTGGCCCCTTTAGAGTCCAATCTTGTTCGTATTTTTCTATAAGCTCAGCACCATGGATACCACCTTCTTTTTGTTTTTGTTTTGAGATAGGGTCTCACTCTGTCACCCAGGCTCAAGTACAGTGGCGTGATCATAGTTCACAGTAGCCTCGAACTTCCGAGCTTAAACAATCCTCCTGCCTCAGACTCTTGAGTAGGTAGGACTTATTATATTGCCCAGGCCCATGTAGCTAGGATTACAGGAACATGCCACTTGGCTAACTTTTTAATTTTTTTGCAAAGACAAGGTCTTGCTGTGTTGCCCAGGTTGGTCTTGGGCTCCTGACCTCAAGCCATCCTTCTGTCTTGGCCTCCCAAAGCACTGTGATTATAGGCATGAGCCACTGTTCTGCCAGGCCTTCTTTTTGATTTGAGTGAGATTAATCATCCTTGGAAGGTAAGCTTGATGGGCTTGGGAAGGCTATGTTCACCAACATATCTTTGCCAAGTCTTGCATTCTGATAAGAATTTTAATGTTTTCTCCATCTCCTCTTCTTCTTTTAAAGAGAGTGTAAAGAAAAAAAAAAAAGCACTACTCTTTATATGAAATCATTTCTGATGAGCTCAGATTTCCCTAGGTGCTGGCCCAGGCGTGACTGTGGTTCTATTACACCTACATTCTTCCTACTCTCGAGAGATTTTAAAAAATGAACTTAATGGCTTGGACTTGTTTTAATTTTCTCTAACTTATTTATTTTCTCTGAGGTCAAAGACATTTTATAAATTCAAAAATACCAAAAGCATTTTGCATGCAATGAAATATCCTTAAGAAAAGTCAGATCAGAGTCAGAGTATTTCCCTAAGGAAAGGAAATGCACAAAATCATCAAATGATTAATTGAAAAAACAAAGAGAACTAACATTTCTCCCGGAACTTGTTCCTACGGTATGCTCTTCCCATTATGAAACATGGCTAGTCTACACTGTTTGTTTTTTGAAATGAAACTTTAATGGGGGAAATATATTACTGCATTTTTTTTGTGTTTTACACTAACATTCTTTCTCTTGCCAAACATTTTGCTATGAGCTCAGGCATTTATTCCCGATATGTTTTGCAGCCTTCATCAGGAGTTCAAGACCAACCTGGGCAACAAATACAGCAAGACTTTGTCTTTGCAAAAAAGATTAAAAAGTTAGCCAAGTTCAGGTGTTTGCTTTTTTTTGTTCCCAGTAAATATTTACTAAATTTTCAAGTCTAGCTTTTTAAAATATAGTTGGTCACTGTATCTTTGAAGAGAGAGATTATATGTATAATCATATACATATATATATATATACACACACATACATATCTATGTGATTAGATGTAATAAGGAACACAAATCCTGGTTTGAGTTTTACTCTATTAAGTAGGATCTTTTCAATTTGAGGATCTGATGTTTATCAATAAGTTAATTTTAGAAATGCTTGCTATCTGAAGAGTGACTAGATCATGAATAACCTAATTGATAAAGATACAGTGATTCAAATTAAGTGGAAAAAATGACCAAAATCAACAAATTGATAAATAAATATTTCTTTTTTTTATTAAATCATAACTGTATACATTAATGCATTTATGGGGTAAAACATGCTGCTTTGACGTGCAATGTGGGAAGTTTCCATCAAACTGATTAATATAGCCATCACCTCACTTACATATTTGTTGTGGTAAGACATTTATACCCTACTCTTAATAATTTTCAAATGTACCATTGCATTATGCATATTAGGTGAGGTCCAAATACCCAAATACCAAATAACCTCCTCCTCCTGTTCTCCCTCCTCCCTCTCTCCTCTTCCCTCCTTTCTGGGTTATAGTTGTGTTTTATCATTCACATGAATGTACAGGTGATTATATATTGCTTTCATAGTAGTATTGAGTACACTTGGATGCTTTTTCTTCCATCCTTGAGAGATACTTTACTAAAGAAGAGTATGTTCCAGCATTGTGGTACATGTATACCATGGAATACTATGCAGCCATAAAGAAGATGGTGAAAATAAATATTTCTTAGGCACCGGCAATACACAAAGCCAAAATTCCAAGTGAAATTTATGCCCTGTTAAATAGAAGCAAAGATGTTGCAGCTTGGAGCAGGCAGCTCATTAGCACTGTTCTTTCTTATTCTGGCAAGAATGAGCTCTTCTAGCTTCTTACTTTCTAAGTTACTCAAAGAAGGCAGGAATTTGCCTCTCAAACCCAATCTGCCAGTTTTTGTAACTGACATTTTACAATGCATCAATGCATTCTACTCCATTAGCAGTGCCGCCATATAATATCACGTCTCGTTTACTTTGGAATTAATTCAAACTTTTTCATCATCCTAAGAAACCTTCCCCATGCCTACAAGAACTAATTATCTCATATCCATAAGTCAAATTTTCAAAATGCTAATAGATTTATCCTTGCCCCAATATCAGCACCTGTCAGACACTCAGGGGACTATAAAGATGCATAAACAATAGTGGTAGAAGTAATAAAAACAATAGTAGGAAAAATGGTAAAAGTAATAGTTAATGTTTACTGAATGCTGTCTACCTAGGTACGGTGAGAGGCTCTTTATCTGCAATTAAAACTTTATTTTACAGAAGAAGAAACCAAACTTCAGAGTGCTGAAGTAACTGCACGGAGTCCTAGGCAGAAGAGTCGTTGTTTCCTAAAAATTTACTAGAACTCAGTGAAACTACCTGGATGTTTTTCTTTTTTAAGAGTGGAAGTTTTCAGCTATCATTTTCAATTTACTACTTGTATAGATTAAGTTTTCTTCTCTGGGTTTAGAAGCTATACATTCTATTTTTATTCATATGGTGATAACCTATGGATCGCCCATTGTCATATTTATTTTCATCTATCGAGTTTGTATATTTTTCAGTGTCCCTATTTCCTCTGATGCAGACAAGCCAGTTAGTGTGCTTCCTTTCACTCTGTTCTCTTTCCCCACCACTATCCCACATCTTATGCTCATATTTTCTAGAATAATTCTGAGTCATTAGGGGCATACATTATCTTTTTTCTTATTTTGGTCCTAGTCTTTTAAAGATAACTTTCACATTGTTTGAATTTTCTATCCCCTTACTGACTTATTTTCGTCTGCTTGTTCCATCAGTTATACAGGGAGGTGTGTTAAAGTCTCCCATTATGATTGTGGATAATTTTATTTTTTCTCTTAGAGTTCTCAATTTTTGTATTACAGAATTTGAATGTATGTTGATAGATGACCAGATTTAGAATAATTATGTTTTCCTGGTGAATCTGATCTATATCACTGTGAACTGTTTTCTTTCATC